ATAGGCCGGTAAGACTCTCCCACGTAGGCTCTACAGGCTGAGTGGCATCAAATTCTACAGGCCCCATCAACAGGCCCCAAAAGTTCTAAGTTGCGCCAAACAACGAAAGATACTTACAGTTCGGCTGATGGCTGAGTTCACGCCCTGTAGGAGCGGGCAACGTGTAGGCAAAAAAAAAGCAGGAAGGTCATCTATACCAAGAACCCACCCACCCAGGGTCAAAAGAACAACAAACCATCAGGCGTTTGTGTCCCTCCACGCCGAAAAAAAAACGGATTTCAGTGAACCGTCCCGTCCGACGACTCCTCAACCCAACGGAGGGCAACCATAACCGGCGCTGTGACGCCGGGCCGGTACGGAGCACGGCCTCGGCCGGGGAGTCGGAGGTGGGTGAGAGATGGTGAGTGGATTCGCCGTACCGAAGAGGACACCGGTCACCTGCATGTGCTGGAAGTCACCTGGACAAAATCACCACCCAAAAACTGTCTGGGTGCCATGCAACATCTATCCTGCCTATAGAATATGATCTGCCAAAAAAGCTCAACTTGATCCTTCCCGGGCCCTGTCTCCTCCACTTTTTTCCCCAGTTCGAACACACGTATCACACACCTCCCCCAAGCCCCTGATCCCCTTCACATTGGCGCTGCTGCATGTCCGAGCCGCACCGACCCCGCACCGCGAACCCGCACCTCGGCGATCGGCTCCTCCGCCTTGGACCGGGCCTCGGTCGCACGGCGCGGCGTCGCCGGAAGGGCGAGAGGCGTCACCGAGCAGGGGAGCGAGCTCGGAGCTGATCGGAGGGCGGCGTTTTGGGTGTGATTGGTTGGGTCGGTGGTTTGGCCGTTTGGGTGGCGTTTTGGGGTGTGGCGCCATTGCTGTTTAGCATGTGTGTGACTTGTCGAGGAACTTGGGTCAATGTTCGCTTCTGGATGTTTCTGGGTCGCTTTGCACATGCAGCAGAAAAAAAGTAAGAACGCCTCTGGGCCGCTCCGTGAGAAAAGAAGCACCCAACATGATGACTTAAGCTGGTGCAACAAACAGGACAAACTAAAGGTCCAATTTATAATAGTATATATTTATAGTATAATTATATATAGTCTATAATGTCTATAGGGACCTACAATATACACAACTTCGTACTAAAGAACGAATAGGTGTCCACAAAAGTTGGTGCCCTCAGAAAGGAACGTTTCTAGCCCAACGCGCCGGTCTTGGACGTCTTGGACCCGGAGCGTCTGGGTAGTTCGCAACAGATCTGGGAACTCCCAGACGGAGCCTGAACTTCGGACAAGCACTTCGATCTGGCCGACCGGTACCGGACAAGCGGTACCGGGAAACGTCTCTTTTGCAGTCGGTTTCTCCTTGCAGTCGATGTCATGAACATGCACCCCAACATCGCAAAGCATTCAACGCATTTCAAGGCATGTTCCCTTAAAGATAAAACCTATTCTCAGTGGATTCCAGAATCGAGTGATTTCTCGGGTGCGTGTTTCCTGGCTTCAACGAATTCTGGTGGACTGGAAGACATTCATCGAACGAGACCGGTGGTGTTCCGAACTTCAGTTCGCACGGCTCCCCTGGTTCCACCTCCTGGCGTGCCAATCCGAGTTCCCAAGCAGAAGAGCTCCTGCGGGTCAGGAAAAGGGTGCCATGGCACCACGCAGCTTCCGAGGACTACTTCATGGACTATACTTCAATGGTCCTTCATCCTTCAAAGCTTGGGTTTTGATCCTATCTCCATCTCTTCAAGGCAGCTTGGTGAACCCGACACGAACCGCTTCATCGTGAAACCGATCCAAAGCATGGTGAACCGGCGATCCAAACCTTGGCTGAGACTTCCAAACTAGTCAAGGTCAATAAGGAAGTCTCTCAAGTTTCGGAGCAAAATACCGTGTAGCTTCACCATAGCTTCACCGCTTCACCAAGGTATACATGGGTAAAGCCCCCCAGGAAGTCTCTCCACAAACTCAGCGGTCCAAAGCGTCGAGTCTTGGAGGTTTGGATGTGTTGAGTTTCGTGGATGCGTTTTCGCTGGTGCGCAGAAGCCGAACACGCCGAACACGTGTTCTGGAGCTTTTGTATCTCCTAGGGATCCAGTCGTACTGTCTCAGAAGGTACGACTGGACCCTCCAAACCTATTCAAACCTACAGAACAGGGTCGAACACATCACCGTACCTGACAAAGTACTTGGATCCCTATAGTGATCTTTATCTTTCAGGATGTGCGTCCAGTTGCTTAGGAGAGTAGTCCCCAACCACCGCTGTTCGTTGGGTCTCGCGTTGGTTTTCCTTTTTTCAGGTTTAGTCGACAACCTATAATAATGCAAATGCCTTGAAATAAGCACACATGTGCAAACACTACAAGGAGGAACAGTACATTGACATGGACATATGATCATCCAATATGTAGACTATGAGATAGATTGCAAAGTGTTTGACAGTGTCCCGGAGTCCCCCAGATAGGAAATACACAGTTGATATATGGCGTAAGAGTATTTGATATGCAGTCAGTTATATAATTATGCGATCGATGTGAAGAACGCAAAAAAGGAGTCCAATGTGCTTCACTTGCGACGACTCCCTCGCAGTCCTCTTCTTCTTCTTTTGCTTCTTTTCGCGTTTTTCTACGCTTTCACTCCTGACAGCGACCCGTCGAGCACGTCCGACCCGCACGAGTCCAGTCCGTGTTTGTTGCGAAAAGAAGGAACGCGTCCTTGTGACTACGTTCGTAAGGCACTTGTTACGAACGTAGCGATGCACGAACTTGTTACGTTCGTAGCGAACAAAGCAAAAGTCGGACTGGAGCTTTTCTTGGATGCCAAAAGAACAATGCACTCCACCATGTTCCGCACTGTTGAAAGCAGTCTCTGCTCCAAGAAGAGTCTCCACCCGTGATCAGTGCCAGCTTGGAGCTGATGTGGCTGAGGTGCTTCCGCTGGACGCTGGACATGTCAGCCCAAGCCTCTTCTTTTTCTTAGCCTTCTTCTTCTTATCAGCTGGGCTTTCACTCCTGCAGTGTGGCGCGTTGCTGGCATGTTTTGGAACAAACACCTGTGTTGACGTCTTTTTCGCCTCTCAACCCAGCTTCCCAGCGTTTTGGATCAGAAAGAAAACTCTGAGACTCATATAGTGCTGGTGCCGCTGGTGCCCTTGTAAACGACAAACTTCAATTGCGTGACCTCGACGACCATGTCGACTTGCTGCACGAAGTTCTGGAAGCAACAACATGCGAAAATAAAGAGCATAAGATAAAACACATGCCCCCCCCAAAAAAAGAAAAAATATATATTTATTTATTAAAGAAACACTTTGTCACACTTTGTTACTTTGATGAATCTGGATCGATCATCTTTAATCGAGTCCTTTGAGTCATGTGAGGCATCTGAGAAAATCACATCACCCTGTGGCCAGCCTAGCCATCAGCACCGATCAGCGCGCACATGGCCCATGTGAGCGCGTGCCGAAAGTGTTGCATCCCAGCATGCAATGTTTCTAGTCTAGTTGCTGGTATACAATCTTGTTCGGCCTGCCCTGCGACCAAGACTCCTCAAATCAGGTTGGGTTAGGTACGTATAGATAGATGTAGATGGTCTTCTGGTTGTCTGTAGTAGCGGTCTCTCAAATGGTTCAGAGATGTTCAGAGCTATGTGTCCGCATTGTTGTGTAATTGGAGCTTGGCTCACTATCAGGCCAAGACCTGTTCATAGCATCCCACATGTTCCACACGTTCATCACATGTTCATCACATGCTCCACGTATTCGATGCACCTGTCCTCAGGATCATAGACGGGGATCCATTGGAGGGATTCCATGAGGATCTAGAATCTCTTCATATTCCATGCTTCCTCCACACTGAGCCTCAACAGCTGAGTGAAAAGAGATGAATCCAAGAGGCCGAGCTGCCAAGTCGCATGGCACTTGGCGACTTGGCAGCTGCACATCCGTGACTCACGGTTGAACACAACACTTCTAGGGCTGGGGAGGAAGGTGTTGATGAGCTTACAAGGTTAGAGGCCTCGAGTAGCAAACACTTCGGCAAACCTTGGCAGTAACCACCTCTTATGCCACTGCAAACCCAAGCACTTGGAGACTCCCAATGCACCCCTGAGCAGGCCCTGCATTCCTCCACCCCTGCGTAAAGATGGGCCTAAATCAGTCAGGTGTGCCATAGCAATCTCCTCAACACGTCCAATCCCCATGGGTGACTTGGATTGAACGATGAAAAACCAGTGCTCTTCGCAGATTTTGGGTTTCTGATTGGGTTTCTTCACTCATGACTTGATGGCATGCCGGCGATCGGAGTGCATAGATGGGCAGAAAGCAAAGGAATGGTCGAGAAATCCTCCCCTTACCACCAAATCCTGGCCCAGTCCCAAAGATTCCCAAGTTTGGAGCAGGACATGAGCACGAATTCCAGGAACCACTCGGTCCAAGGTAGCAGAGGTAGCAGGTGCAGCGTTGTTTTCAGCGCGTGTTTTTCACTTTCGGAGAAGTGGCTTCGACTCGGTCTGAGACGCACCGGCATCACATGAGAGAGGTTCTCCTCTTCCCCGTGCCGGCTTTGAGATTGAAAGACATTGAAAGGATTGATGGATTCAGGGCCCCAGACCAGAACCAAAGATCATCCAAACACTCCATGGTGCACCCCTGAAAAAGCCACCAACCACCCCAACCACCCCAACTGATCGGTTCATATTGCCAGTTTGGCATTGTCTGCATCATGTTCTTAGGGGTTGTTCTCACCCTATAGGGATCCAGTCTTACCTCCTCAAAAGGTACGACTGGACCCTGGCACCCACCCCAGTCCCACCTTCTCAGAGGGTACTTGGAACCTTAGGGTCAGATTCCAAGCAATCCATCCACATCTCAGCACAAATCACTCAGCTTCTCCCACCGCGACCGCTCCGAGACATCAGTTCAGCTCGGTCTCCGGGGTCTCCCCGACCCAGGCGATCCGGAACAAAAGGTAAACAAGCTCCTGAATGCCTTCTGATCCATGTTCAGAATCCATGTCTGGCCGAACTTCAGTGTCACCGTCGACCGACCACGGGCCGCGGATGGCAGAAACACCGCGGCCACCACGGGTGGCCGGCAGCCAGGTAGCTAGTTTCGGACGAGCATCCTCCGTTCCCAGCAGCGGAGCACCATGCAATTCTCATGAAAACCAAACCCTAGGCAGCTCGGAGTACCTCCTCAAAAGGTACGACTGGACCCTCCTGGCACCCACCCAAACACCTTCTCAGAGGGTACTTGGATCCTTAGGGAAACAAATGGTCGAACAGTCGAACACCATATGTGAAAACATGTGATTTCACGATTGAACCACGTATTCTCGTGATATTCACCCATTCAAACCATCACACTTATTACTAATGCTCATTGAGCTTCCTAAGGAGAGTCTCTGAGCTTCTTGCTTCAAACAACGGTTCAAGCTCACTAGCTGACAACGGTGCATCGTTTGCTCACTCCCCTGAGGACTGAGGATCGTTTTCCGAAAGCTTCCTCACAACTTTGGAAAACAAGGCCAGTGATCGGCTTGTCGGACCTAAAGGCGGGGGTTTTATCAAATTCCTCCCGCTCTTGTCGACGGATTCGCTTCTGGCGATTTCGTCAGGGTGTAAAAGATCGAGCCTAGGCCCTACGGATTGTACGGCATCAACGAAGAAAGAACACACGGTTTTACACATCCCTCCATGACTGGCACTATAGGATCATCATTGGAAGCCAAGCAATAACCCCAGTTCCACTGGGGCTGACCCAAGCGCCTTCACACAGCAAGGAGCAATCAAAAAGGACGGTCAGTCTCTGCCAGTCTCTGCTCTCCACTTCACGCGATACGCTCGCGGAAGGTGGGGCTGATGCGGTGCTCATCCATGATGGTTGAGACATCGATGAGACCCAAGCAGCAATCCATTCGGACGCTGTTCAAGACCTGGGGCGGACTGGTACAGCTCCAGTTAGGGTCCTGTCGGGTTCCGTTGGGGGGGCTGGCCACCCCCTCCATTTCGGTGAAGATGGTTGGGGTGCCAAGGGGGTAACAAAAACCACCGAACCTGAGGAGATGGTTGGAGCATATTGTTGGAACCCTAGGAAATGTATCGTCTTCCTAAATCCCTAGGGCTCCAAGTACTTCCTTAGAAGGTATGACTGGACCCTCCTGGCACCCACCTCAAACACCTTCGAAACGAAGGTACGACAGGAGCCCTAGGGAATTGTAGTGTTGGACGTATCCTAGGAGTACAATGTCTTTTGACCTCTGGTTTGAAGTGGTGAGATAAAAACACACGGAACAAACACAGAGCTTCTTTTAGCAAACGATGGGCCGGGATGGGTTTCAAGGGTCAACCTGGCCCAACCAGCTTCTGCGGGATTTGGATTTGGATCCGGAAATATTGACTCTTTAAGGCGATGATCTGTGGTTTATGGAACCCTGAGCAATCTTTATCAAGAACCTATTGAGAGAGCGAGAGAGAGAGAGACATGAGCAGGCTGGTTTCTGCCTGGAGGTCACCACTGGCAATATAACATATCATATACTCACGTTCGACGGGGTGCGATCCATGGAGGAAGATCGGAGTCCCCCAGAACACATCGACTCACGTAAGGGGACTAAACCACACCACCCCGTCTCGTTCGTGCCAATGGGTCACCCAGAAGGACGCAAAGGCCCCGTTAAGACATGGCGTTTGGTGGTAGTAACGTGAACATGAACATCGTTGACTCCAAAACGTTGGACACATTCCAAGTGCATACATGCGTTGGACACATTCATTGCATCATGGAAATTGAGCTGATACAAAAACCCTTGTAGGATCTTAGGATTGCATAGGATGGCATAGGCACCTTTTCTACCACCAAAGGTATCGAAAGAGGAACATGCTCGACGTTTTTTCTGCGCCACGTGGCGTTCTCCCCGTGAGAGGCTTCGAAGACTTGAGTACCGTCCTGCCAAGAGCCGCCAGGAAAACACATGAAAACCCCTACCTACCCAAAGAATCTAATTGTGCTAATTAACGCTAATGAGTTATATCAATCATTGCAGGCCCTCAAGTTCATTTTGCAATGGGCCCATTCAGCATCCGAGAAACGGAGATCTATGATCCTCTGTTTTGGTCATTGAAAAAACGGTCATTGCAATTTGGTAGTTGGAAGGTCCAGGCAGTGGGAAAAGACAACTGAAGCTCTCCCACACACGGCTGAATACTGACTGGACTATATGCCGATCAATTGACCCCTTGAAACCCTACCAGGACCATCCTGGCCAGGCTGTTTTGGGACACCGGTCGTTGGTGGTTTCTGGGCACCGGACTTGCCACCAGGAAACACCTGTGAAGTCGGGTGCTGGTATAGGTATATAAATGGCAGTGGGTCCAATCCCGGGGGCCCTGCTTGACCGTTGCAACGAACAGAATCGACTGCTATCCACATGAAGCAACGGGGCCGCGCAAAAAAGACACCTGTTCCAGCAGTCACAAAGGGGTGCCTATTGGAGGATTATCCACTCACTTAGGGACTGGAAACCACCCCTTTGTGACTCCTGGTTGGACAGCCAGTCTGTGACTTCACAATCTCCGCGAGAGAACAACGTTATTTGACAACTACCAGGACCTTCCAACAGGTGGTTTTGGGCAACCTCTTAACCTCTAAGAGGCTGTTTATAGACACCTCTTGGAAGGTCCTGGTATATATAATAGCCGTTAACGCGCGTTCCTAGCCGTGCGGCCATAGCAAACCGATGGGTTGTCCAAAAGCAGATTGGGAGTGTAACATACAAGTCACCGTGAAATATCAAGCAACCAATCCAGGAACCCTTAGGGAACCAAGTACCTTCTCAGAAGGTACCCTCCAAACCTACGCTAACAGTGTTTCCAATCACCGTACCTGAGAAGGTACGACTGGATCCCTGCAGGAGCATGCACATTTGCCCTTTCTCCGCCGCTCATCCACCCCCGGACTTTTTCTCTCTCCCTCGGTCCTTGCCAGCTAGGTCGGTGATCAACTTGCTGCCGCCCACATGCCCCATCGCCTTGGCTGTCAAATGAACAAACATGTGGGAAACGTGATTACCGCGTTCATGTTTGGCAAACGTTTTGAAACCCAAACTGCATCATAGTCCTTATGTTGGTGATACCAAGAAAACAAAAGAAACACAAAGATTCCTACAATGTCATTCCCCAAAATTTTTAGCTTCCCCTTGTCCAATGCCAAGTACTGAGCTTTTTTCATGTGTTTAACCAGGTCTTGGAATCACCAAAAGCGGTGTCCAAGCGAACCATTGAACACCCGGACGAACCCATATTCGTACCCTGCCACACGTCCCACTTCCAAAATATGTGTTGAAAAGGCCTTCCCACAAAACTGAATTAATCTATATTCTTTATGCAAGCTCTTTGCGGTAACATGATCATTGCAAGTTTCAAGATGACCCATTTAGATCCATTTGGGTTATAATTAAGACCCCCAACCAATGGGTTTGGGTCTCTCTCCCTTCGAAGTCGAGCTGGGAGGTCTCCGGTGTGCTGAGCTTCTACACACACACACCCACCCATGAAAGTCGACCCTCACTGCTCATGAAAGCTCCGTTGACACCCTCCACCCTCCTATCACCCTCCTATCACCCTCCTCCCTCCCCTTCCTCACATTCCGTCACGAGACGAACTTCGTGAGGTCATAGACCCGGCCGTGCAGTACCACCCAGCAGTCCTCCGGAGAGCTATGGAGGGCCACCTCACGTGGGCCACGCGACGAGTCGCGCGACTCGTCGAGTCCATCGAGTCAAGTCGAGTCGAGTCGAAGCTCGGCATCGATTTCACCCTGGAGCTCCAACCATATCTGAAGGTGGGCACAGACCCCCTGGCACCCACCCCTGGCCCACCTAGGAGCCCAAGCGGGTCAGACGAGTCGACTATAATAGTTTGGATGTGTGTTTGGGTCGAAGCGCCCATCGAACCGGGATCCCAATAAAACTGGGCCCCCAACAATCGTGGAGGCCTCTTGGTAGAGGAGAATCGTTCTAACTTGGGTCAACTATTACCCAGACGCGACTAATGGGACTGGCATGTTTGCCGACATATGGTGGTTTGTGGGATCACTGTAGGCGGCATATGCATTCCAGTCCCATGGATGGTCTGGGTATTTTTTCTGGTATTCTTTTTGCTGGCCTTCTAACTTCCGCTTAAAACAACGGCTTTCCCGGCACATTCACAAACCAATTGGTGCGCGTCTGACCTGCGACCAATGCTTTACTGGTCTTTGCAGCTGCGCATTGCTCTACAGGTCAACCATTCCTTTAAAAAGGAAAGGCCTCCGGGTGGATGGGAAAAGACATGACGAGATGCACCTCCTCCATGGAGAAGACCTTCTCCTCGCTTTGGACGACGATGTAGTCTCCGAAGTCGCCCATCTCCTCTTGCCCGTGCGTGGCGCGTGCGAACAACAAGGGCAGCTCCATGAGCACACTGAGACGGGAATGCAATTGGCTGTAATCACGGGAAGGCCATTGGATTCAATATGATATTATGATTCTGATCCACCAGCTGTTCTAGTTCACAAGACATTAGTTTGCACAAAACTCTGGAATGTACTGCAGGGAACCTTGACCTTAGGGGTATGGCACATCACAAGCATGCAAACATCAATGCGGCTACTGTTCTGACACATCTAGGGACGTCGGACGTGCAACCATCCATCCTAGGCGCCTGAGGAGGCCTCCGTACATGATCTAATGTGAGTGTTTGTTGGCGGTCTCCACTTCCTTATAGCACCAAAACGCCTCCAATCCATCACCCAGGTACTGAAAAGCGGAACAAGTCCTGATCTTTCACCTGGAGACCCATCAGGCTGGTTTGATCTCCACGCGATGAAACGCCACTCCGTTTCAATCAGCAACCCAAGAAACACTCTAAACTAACATCTTTTTGCTTCTTCTGTTTGGTGCTGGTCTGACCGGTCTTGGCGACATCCTGGCACGAACAGTGTGGGTTCGGTCCGCCACCCGTCGACCAGTCGACCCGCTCCGCCAGCGCGTAGGCCATCTGATCGTCCATGGTCAACGCTCGCCCCGCGGCGCACGGCGCACGAGCGCGGAGCAACGGGGCGCTGAGAGTGGCTGCGCGGATGAAAAGCACACAACGAAGGCGCATGAGAGGTTCTTATCCTATGAGCTGTTCCAGGCAACTGGACTTTTTGGAAAGGCTTAGAAATCCAGGTTCCTGCGAAATAAACCAAACATGACCGGAATACAAGGGGAGTGGCATAAAGACGTCTTCCATATCCCGCGAAAATCTGCAGAATGGCCAGCACATCCTTGGACTCTCCGTGACAAGGTGTCACAGAGACGCTGTTTGGTTGTCAACCAAGTGTTGATCCATTTGTTCAGTGAACTTTTGGAGTCGTCAAGAAATCTTACAGTCTCTACGCCTTTTTAATCTTCTAGATACCTCAGGTCGCACAGCTGGGGCGAAAGGAATTGAGTCACCCAAACCATCCATGGGACTGGAATCGCTTCTTACATTAATCATGGGGCCATGGGGTAGAAAGAATATGAGGACCTAGATTATATATCCCAAACACAAGCTAGATTACATGACCCCCAAAACCACCCCAATGTATATAGGTATATATATTTATATATACCAGTCCCATGGAGTGTCTGGGTATGATAACTCTTCGATGATCATGGATGATCCTTTTCCCAGCTCAGCCACCTCCACACCGACCTGCACGACACTCGCCTTTCTTCGACCTACCCGCACGACACGAACGCTTCGCCATCGGCTCCGGGTGCGTTTCGCCCGGTGTGAAACCAAGGATCCCCGCGGTGGTTTCAGATGTTTGAGCGGCGCAGTGCCACACCCATCGGGCGGGGGCGGGAAAAAAGGAAGCTTCAAGAGTGAAAGATTTGGATTGAGTAATGAATCTTTATTCTCTTCTCACGTGAGATTGATGTTCATAGAGGCCACAAGATTTGAAGGTTCATGGTTTTCATGTCAAGACAATGTAAAACTGCATCAATGAATCACCCCGTTTGAGAGTTCCTCCAAGAGCGATGGCCTCCACCCTAGTAGCGATGACCGAGATGGCTGCCAGTGTCACAAATGGACAAAGAATGACAAAGATAGTAAACATCTTCCTTTGAGCTTCCCCTAAGAATTCCTATCTCACTGAGCAGTCAGCCACTTTGGGCCGCACACAGCGGGAGCTCCGTTTCAGGCAGGCAGTAAGCACTCTGAGAAGAGTTTTTTTGGTGTATGAATTCTTGGCACATCTATGGTTAGTGTGACGTAGGCTGACAAGGAGGATGCTTCTTATGGACCAGTCAAGAACCCGTGTGCTTCTCATCTTGTTGGATGAAAACATCTGCGAAAACCGCTTGAAAATCATTCGAACCTTTCCGGTTTGTTGGACACCAACGGACACTTAAGATATCTTAAGGGTCTTTTGCATGGCTTTAAATGGCCACATCATCGACCAATTGGCTGGTGCTTTGCGGGTAATCTAAATCCTATCAGCCAACAACATCCTGAAATTTTAGGCTTCCTGCTCTTCCTTTGCTGCGGAAATGACTGCTAAAATGATACGATCGATGACCAACGGAGCTTGATCCATCTGAATATTAACGCAAATTAAGAATACTTGCGCAAGAATCTAACAATATTCAATCACATCAACTGTGACTTGTGACATGTTAACAATATCTCACATGAGTTTAAAGCTGACCTGGGCCATCCTTGGTCCCCATGAAGTCCAAACGTGCACGAACATAGCTGCTACTCTCACGAGCGTATGACTTTTGAGGACCATATGACGACTGCCCGTCTGACAGGGACCCCTTCACCACTTCCAGCTGAAAGCAGAAGAGCGTGTCTCTTTCGATCGACCCTGGCAGGGGTTCCGCCGGATGTCGACCCGGGTTGTGGGGTGCGACGCGACGAGAGGGAATGAGGATGGCTGAGGGTGCGAGGTTTCCAAAGGAATCTAGATTGGAGGCGAGGCTTAGCTTGCCTCATTCCTTACTATTATAGTTATATATATAGTATATATATATATACCTAAGGGATCCTCGTGTGCGGAATTTAAGTCGCTTTGTGAAATCAAAGTTTTTTTGGTCGTCTACTAGAAGTTTCGCCGTTTGCTCCAAAAGTTGCCGCCTCAATGTGTGTGTCTTCTTTTCTCTCCACCAAATGACTAGCGTCCAGCATTCCCCGAGCAACAAAGGTGCAATTGAGATCACCCATAGTTGAAACAATAACTGAACACAATTGAATACACAAGGTTTAAAACCTCTGAAATTCTCGGACATGACCCAGCCTCAACAGCAACAACACATCTCAACATCAGCACCTTTGTCTAATCCCCAAAGTGTCTTTTCAAGAGCACGTGTGCCTTGATGAGGTAAAATTCAAGAGATCTTGTGGTAACAATACGGCCGTCTATTCTGCGACTGAGTCGGCTCATCCTTCCAATGAGATCTTCATTTTGGCAACAGTCCCAGTGTATGGGACTACATATCAACTCGGCATTTGTATTCAATTGCATCTTCAACTCATGCAATGTATGAAGCTGGAAATGGAATTTCGGCACCAATGCATACAAGCACTGCCGAGTTGCCCAGGCATGGGCTGACAACTTTGCATAACCTTTTGTGAAGGCCAAGCCAACTTCGTACAAGCAGGAAGCACAGGGCCGCGAAAGCCAAAGCCCGTGATTAAACACAATATCAAACCATCTGATGCCCAATCGAGCTAAAGATAGTATGATCTGCAAAGCTTCAGCCTGCTGTTGATCCAAAGGACGGTCATTTCCATTCAGCACTGCGATGCTCAATGAAATCATCCAACGCATACAAAGCATAGTGTCGCTTGCTTTGCAATTGATCCATGGATAGGATTGTTTGGTCTGATAGTTGAACAAAGCAGGACTGAAGCTCCTAAGAGCTGCGTTTCTGCAGCTTGTCAATTGCCACATTTTGAAATGCCCCCATGCACCATTCAGCTTCTCCGCCACAGTTCCCTGCCTTCCGAAGAAACCCAATCTCAGAACCAGCATTATAGAACTGGCTAAGAAATGCCTGAACAACCCCAACTTCAAGCAATGAAATCCATCCATCTTCAGCAAAAATTCTGGTTTCTGGTTGTCAAACGGAATGCTGAGAAATGCAGAAGGATCGTGCGCATGCCAGGGCCGATCTGCAAACAGTGAAGTGCTCCATGCCGGATTAGCAGTTTGCTCTTCTGCTGGTTCTCCAGGCTTTCCGGCATGGCACCAATGACATTGGCAAACATCTCGGGTCGTGCTTTTGTGCTCGAATCCCCGGCACAGGCGACCAACTTTGGAATGCCATTTCAAATCGCCTTTGGCGCCAGTGACAGCAATTCTCCAGGTATGCCCTCTGAATTGGAAGCCCGTGTGGAACAGGTCGGCTAGCTGGTCCGCAAATGCAACCAACATCTCATGAACCAGTCGAGCAAGCACCTTTTTGTCCATGGTCCCTGGCAACATGAAGGACGGAAAGTGCTGCAAGAACGAATGGGATTTCATGTTGGATGTCAGGCTTTTGGCTTTCCTGGTCCCAGCACTGTCATGACAGGAAAACCAATTGGTAGCTGGCATACAACTTCTGCAAACAGAGGTGTGGCCCTTTACACCAAGAACTGCTTCCCAAGAAACAACGGTTGTGTTGGACCTGCGTTTTCCACGTCCTTCATCACCATGGACTGCTATAGGCAACACTCTTTGGAGTTGGCTTGTGTCTGGGCACATGGAAAATATCTCGTGGCCAGGGTGGAACCCTCTATACGCTTTCCAGTAAGCTGCACAGCGGTGTTGTCCATCTTCGATTGAAGGAGTGCCAAATAGTACCCGAGGATATTTCTCAACTAAATATTCAATCATTCTCCGAGGATGCAGAAAACCAATCCTCAAGATTTCACCATCCTCGCACGTGTGCTCATGCACATCTACTGGGACCTTCCACGCAATCCCCATCCGACGGACTGCTCGCAATGCATCCCTCGATTGATTGTGGACTTTCTTTTTCTGCGAGATGGGCAGACCAGCGTCGGCCTCAGCACCAGGCTGAAGCCTTTGACATACTGTCGCAGGTACCTTAATGCTGGCAAGAGTGGTTGAGAGCTGGAAGGAGGACCGGGAAAACTACAATGCCACAAAAAAAGGGTCTAACAAAAACCAAGGCAAAGCAAGGCAACTCCATCTGCTAATGCCTCAGCAAAGCCTTCAACCAAAGGCCTCTTGCGTGATATTGGTGGGACATCATCACCTGGCTGACTAATCTGGAGCATAGAAGTTGCAGGAACATGGATTGCTCTAAACTCTTTGTAGAAGTGCCACATCTACTCACTACAGTGCCAAACATCCAACTTTTTTAAATTGACATCGGGGATCAGCGGTGGAATCTTCCAAATGCAGCTGCTCTGAAAAAAGCAGTAGACATCACATCACAGAGATGCCAAAAATGGATCTCTGCATCACACTGGGAATAAACAGCGAATTAGGACGCCTTCTGACGTTTGGGCTCTGGCTCAGAAGCATCGGCTTTTTGGGCCTTGCCTTTAGCTTTGGCCTTGGCCTTTGCTGCCCGAACACTGGACCTTTTAGGCTGAGTTTTGGCCTTGGGGACTTTGCAATCCTTCGGCATCACTTGCCTGGGAGATGCAGAGCTCAGAACAGAAAACCATCCACTAGTCAAGATCCTTTCCAGACTGCAATCGTTTCTAAGGTCGTGTCCTCATGCGAGACTCAAGGCTTAAAGCTTCCACGGCCCTGGGTCCAAAAACGTGATTCAATTTGTTGGCGATAGGTACCAGGTAGCCCAACCACAAATTAACCGAATTAGCTTTGAGGCCCACACGCTGTCTTGGCATCTTTGAAGATAGAATCAAGCTGTTCTTCCGACCTGATGTTTTTCAATACAAAATCGAATCTGACATCGCTTCCCAAAATCTAGGCTTGGTACTGTTTGGTGAATCCTTCCACAACTCCGTTTGTGTAGATATCTTCGATTGACTTTTCCTTGCTCTTCAAGGTCCCGATAACATCATGAAGTTTCTGCATCATCCTCAGATGTCACAGTTTTAGCTATACAATGAGCA